CAGAAGGAATAGAGCTGTTGTAGGGTGTGAGGCACTAGGAGGCTTGTGTGGTATATTCCCATTCAGATAAAGAGGGGAGTCTGGTTATTTTAAGGGAGGTGGCTCCAGTAAGTATGGCATTTAAAAGACAAGGTAAAACTGTAAGTATGAGGATAATGAGGACTGGGTGCTCAAGGTGGGGAGCCAAAGAGGGAAAGAGCCAAAGCCCATTCATAGGAGAAGGTTTGTCATTGAATTTTTGTATGATCTCTGCATCTTTGAGCCCAATCTGGAACCAAATAGGATTAGTTGGTGTGGAAGCAGCATTATCCTCAGAGGAGGGCACAAATTCCCTCCTTAGCAGTAGTCAGGCTGTCTAGTCCTCTTTAATGTTGGAGTATTGCAGTAACCAAAGACAGAGTTGGTACCGAAGGGTGTTAAGCTGATTTGAGGTTTCTTTAAGGTTTCCCAAGAGCTCATGAGACAGAATGGTTAATGATGCAAAGAGGCCTTTGTCCATCTGTTTTAGTTCTGAGTCCTGAAAAACAATGCCCAGAGTGGCAAGAAGAGGGGCGAGATGGATGAACCATTGGCCACCTTTTCTGAGGTCACCCAAACCTCTTTTAGGGATATGGGATACAAATCTCTCTTCAAGCTTACAACAGGGAGATATAGAAAGGGCAGCAGTTAAAGTGCCTCAGAGGAGGATTCATCTAAGGGGCCATGACAAATCTTAACAGATGGCAAAGATACAGAATATACTATAACCACAATACAATCATGTGTTGACAGTATACATCCATGGACTGTGTTATATGATTAAGTAGCATCAGCAAAATATGTAATTGAGACTGGTGGGACTACTATAACTCCCATTAAGAGTGTAGTTAAGAATTGGTTTTTCAAGACAGGGTTTCTCTGTGGCTTTGGAGACTGTCCTGGAACTAGCTCTTGTAGACCAAGCTGGTCTCTAACTCACAGAGATCCACCTGCCTCTACCTGCCTCTGCCTCCCAAGTGCTGGGACTAAAGGCACGCAGCACCAAACTCAGAATCATCAGTTGGATCTCCTCTATTACCACCTTGTGGATACATTAGGAGTTTAATATCATGATTAACATGAGTTTTGTTTAGTCTGGTGAAATAGAGCTGCCTGGACCATATACCAGAGCCTGTTGTAGATAGGGCAACTGTAATCATCTTTTAGTTACATCGGAGTCCTACATAAGGAGCAAGCATCTGGAGGCTTTGTAAAAGAAGTTAAAGTCAAAGAGGGATAGAATTTTTGTAGGATTGTCTAGAAAAGTTCCAAGGATACAACATGGGTATTGTGAATAATTTCTTAAACCTGTGAATTTGCTGACAGGGTATCTAGCAACCTTCTTTAATCAGGCAGCATTTCCTTAGGGCATAGAATAACACATTAGGACTGTGAGAGGTGCTCTTCCAGAAAGAGTTAGTGTTCTGTAACTGATGAATACAACTTTTAGATTTGGCCTCAGTATTTAAGAAGATAGGCAGACCTATTTTTCTCAGTTGTGCATAGATACCATAGTTACTGATGTAAGCCATGGCCCTGTGCTGTATCTGGGGTGTGTGTGTGTGTGTGTGTGTGTAACAGGATCATTAGTGAGAAGTAGTTGTTCAGGTAACATTTCATATGGTTAAGTATACTGTCTGAGGACTGTCATCCTTTGAATTATTAGGAAACACACTGATCCTTTTAATCTTGGTTATACTCTCCTGCTGGATATTTAAGATCATGCAGTTATCCAAAATTAAATTTTGTTTTTATGCTGTTAAGGCGAGTTGAGGGTCCCATCTTCAGGAGTCACTTAGCCCATAAGGAATCTCCAATGCTTCCACTCTTTCTTTTATCATTTGTCCATCCATGTGAGGATAAGTCCAAGGCATGGCTTGTCCTGGCTGTGGCTTCCATTGGAAGCACTGAAGAAATTTCTCCTGTGTATTTACCCATTTTTTTTTTGTAGACTGAATTCTAGGTTATAATTCACTGAGTGGGGTTCCATGGCCCACTGAACAAGCAAACAGGTGACTCTCCACAGTTGCAGGACTTTTCTAGAGATGGCCTGCTGTCCTCTGGGGTCTCATTGACCTTGGAGCACAAAGGGGAAAATATTGTTCCTTTCAGTCCCTCTCACTACATTAGACTAGTCTCCAAGTGTGGCTATTAAACACCCAAAAGATCAGTGCACCAGTCCTGTATTTTCACTACTGTATAGTATTTGAATAGCCAAATAGTTCTAAATAAACTTTGATTCAATATATATTTTAGCCAGTTTGTCTAATTGTTAATCAAAGACCTTAGGAATCTTAATGTCATTATTATTACAAAGCTTTTGCAAATAACTTACTCAGGCCTTAATAACTTGCAAAAGCTTTTTTAATTTTTTTCCACTCTGTAAATATCGATCCACCTCAGTCTGCATGCATAAATCCTTCTTTACTAAAACAACTTCCATCTATATATCTTTGGGTATTTTTTTTCTTAATACCATGAGACATAACAGCATTAACAAATGAATTGATCATCTGCTGTGAGAGTTTTCTCCCTAGGGAAAGGGAGAAGAAGCAATTTCTATCCCCTCTTTATGTGGTCCTAATGACAAACTAAAGTTTAATTTCATCAAAGTTCACCCTCAGAACCAAGGAGTTTATTGTGCTTACTTAAGAGAAATTGGTGAGGGTTATTGATGGGACTGTGGGTGGCCCAGAAGCAGCCACACTGAAAATCTTTACTCAGTGTGTATGAGGACATTGTATAGTCATATAGACTTTATGAATATGCCATTGGCTGGGATGGCATACTTCAGTAAACCAAGATTTTGAACATTATTGCTTTGTTGCAATTATGTTTATATATTTTTTATTTGAAACTTAATAGAGAATTTTAGTAAACATATTGTTAGATTGGACCAATGAAGTGATAGAAAAGCCCAAAAGGTGCTGCTACTGAGACTGTGACCCTTTATAGGACATTTATTTATTTTTTCTCAGCTCCATCCACTCCTGTTTGTGCATTGAGACTTTTCTCATATATGATGTGTTCCTTAGACAAAAGCCCAGGTGGGGAAGGGCTTCAGCTCTTTCTCTGCAACTTGGCCTGAGCCTGATCCTTATGAAGCCAGTGGGGAAAGGGCTTCCTTTCTTTCATCTAATCTTTATTGTAATTTGCTGTAGTCTTCAGCCCAGCTGTGCCACCACAGTGTGTTCACAAGTCTATCCTGACCAGCTACTATGTAGTGGGTACCTGTGTGATTATTAAATATTATAAACAGTAGCTGTGTTGATATTTCTATGAATACTCATACATTAGGTGATTTGCTGTTAAGTTTTGATGAAGGTCAAGTTATGTCTTTCAGTTATACTTTTTCTTAGCAACCTATCATTTTTCTTCCTTTCCTTACTTCTTTTCCTTCCTTTCTTTTTTTTGGTGGGGGGGAGGGTGTTTAGCTCCCCCTTGTGTAACCCAGACTGGCCTCAACTTCACAATCCTCCTGTCTCATCTTTCTCAGGTATGTGCTACCAGCATCAGGTTGCAGTTTATGATTCTTTTCAAGGAATTTGTTATTAGATTTAGCTTGCCCCAGACCCTATGTTCCAAAGTGGATGACATTTCAAGAAGTTTTTATAGTAACAGAGAAAGTCATAAATGAAGACTTTAAAAGGAATACATTGGTAGACCTGATGTTAATGTGAATGTTAAATAATGTTTGTATAAAAGTCTATAAATAAAGTTATTTTTTATTAATTGCACTGAATTGGACCTCCCATAATATGCTAAAACCCAGTGTTGCAAGTTGGCTCATTGAATAGTACTAAATTCAGTTTCCAAAAATATATGCTAGTACTAAAAATAAAGTTTGAATACACAGTAAAAAGAAACTATGTTGGCAGAAGCATCAGAGAGGTGGGGTGCAGGCAATTGGAAGGCATCTTTATTGCAGGCCTCAGACACTGTTGCTGAAAGACTTAGTTTTGTGGTTGCTGGAAGGTAGAGGTCTGAGAAGTTAGCACATTCCAAGTTAAACACGTTTGTTTATACATACTAAATGCTTTACCTAATGTTTACAAAGCTGTTAGGCCAGGTTCAGTGGAGGCCAGTACATAATTACTGAGAGGATGAAAGCTCGCTGAAGATAATTTGCCTTTGGGCTGGCAACATCCTGGCTGTTATAGGGAGCCCACCTAGATGAATATTCAGAAACATATGAAAGCCAATTGAAAGTCTTTATTCCAGCCAGCTGGGACTACACTTAGATATTGAGGGACCCTGGTAGAGCCTCAAATGTCCAGAGAAAAGAATCTTTGAAGGCAAGAAGTACATCTTGCCTACAAATGCCTGGTGTCTTACTCAGCAGCTACAGGGGGGCTTCAAAGATGCAGTCAGTTTAATAGAAGCCAAGTTAGCTGGGGCATCTTGGCCTCACTTCTTAGAATACAGTTGTGTAATTTCCCAGGAGATTCTCCATTATGGAAATCAAATTCCAATTAAGACTGAAATGGCCTCAGCAAGAATGCAAGATGAGGGACCTCTGTACTGTCTTGCCCAGTCATACCACCTCTCCACTATCAGTGGCGTTCTGATCAGCCATGCAGGAGGTTCAGTTTGAGGGTGTAGCTTTTTTTCTGGGAACTTCATCTACAGCACACCCATGCATGTATCAGACAGCCACACACATACATTTCCATACACACACACTCCCGCAATCACTCTCACATACATACATAAACATAAATACACAAATAGATCCCTATAAAATATATACCTGATACTAGGTAATCAAAACAAAGTGTGAATCAAAGCCATTAGGAACAAAACACTTGTTTTAAAGGTGGCCACTAGAGATTTTAGCAGAGAAGTTGGTGAAGTGACTACCCAAGAGTTACCATAAAGGCACTGTCCTGTGAGTGTGCAAGAAGTGAACATGGAAAGCTGGAACACATGTGTTTTTAATCTGAGGGTACCTAACATTTTAATTGTTTTATTTGCTTTTCCAGGTGGTGAATCCCAAAAAGAAAGGAAAGAAGAAAAAATACACTAATTCAGGAACAGTAAGTCATATTTAATGTTATTGGTAAAAGACACGGACCAAAAACGACTTAACAGTTTGGAACATACTGAGATCATCTTAGAAAAAGATTTACTTCTCTTAACTTCTCAAAACAAAAGCATACACTGGGAGCATTATCTTTCTAGGGAGTATGGTCCTGGAGGATAGATGATGGAGGAAGTACCTGGGCTTGCTGCAGGCTCCTACCAAGGGAGGCTGAGGTGCTCTTCTGACCCCTCTATTCAGTTGGATTCAGTGCATTGAATCCAGCAAAGGCCAAGCTCAGAATGACTGCATTCCTCAGTGACTCCTAAACCTGACCTGGGAGGTCAATGCTCTCACTGATGGAATCTCAAATATCAGCTGTGGGAATGCTGGGGAGGTCAGGACTAGGTGGCGGGACAGAGGCAGTCAGAAAACTGAAAAAAAATCAAGAGCTCCCTATTTTCAGATTAAAAAAACCAAAAAAACAAAAACAAACTAAGTATTTCTTTCCTCAGAAGAAATAAAGCCCTGGGTTTTCTTTTAAAGTTTTGTATTAATCATATATTAATGATTAATACTTTCAAATATTAGATGGCCTTATTAGAACCCAGTAGCAGAAATGGCCATTTCTTGCACAGCTCAGCTTGGTGAGTCCACATGTAGCTGTAACTGCTTTCCAGCTTTTTCATTCATCCTAATCTACAGTGGGAAACAGCACCATGTCCCTGCAGGTGACTTCCATGCTGGTCCTCACAGTCACAGAGGGAGAGGAGCTAGATAATTAATGCCACCTTTCATCCCTTTCCTTCTGATAACCTCAAATGTATGTCCTGGCAGATTTTTAATAAATAATTATGTCTTTAGTTATTTTTAAAATGTTAGGGAATATTATATTCTCTTTAGTAGAAAATTGTCCATGTCTAATACATGTTGGGGTTGCAGTCAATACTGACAAGTAGTTCATTCTCTCTGTGTGTGTCTCTGTCTCTGTCTCTCTCTCTCCCTCCCTCTCTAGGTAACCTTACTATCTTTCTTGGTGGAAACAGAAGTCTCCTTCCTGGACTATATTAAAGGAGGGTAAGTTATCTTCTAAAACTTGTACAGCATTTCTTTGTGTATAAGTGGTTGCCATAACCACAGAAGCAACTGAGGACCACCTTTGGGTGTCATATATACATACATATGTATATATAATATGTATGCATATATAATTTATTTAGTGTTAGCCTATGTACTGGGACAGTGCACTTATGCCACAGAGCCTACATGGAGGAACTCAGAGGACACCCTGTAAGAAATGGTTCTGTCCTTTCCCACTGTGGGCTGCAGGAGTTGAATTCAAGTCCTTAGGCTTAGCAGCAGGCACATTTACCCCCTAAGCCATAATAGTGGGCTCCCCTTTTAAATATTTTGATGGCACTTTTATTGCAGACCTTGACAGAAAAAGCAAGATGCACATGCCATTGCATTTTGTCTTAGTTAGGACTTCTGTTGCTGTGGCAAAATACCATAACCAAAAGCAACTTGCAGGGCAAAGAGTTTCCAAAGGAAGTTGGGTAGGAACTTTAACTTGGAGGCTGGAGCTAATGCAGAGGCCATGGAGGGGTGCTGCTTCCTGGCTTGCTCCTCATGGCTTGCTCAGCCTGCTTTCTGATAGCACCCAGGACCAGCAGCCCAGCAATGGCACCACCCACAATAGGCTGGACCCTCCCTCATCTATTACTAGGAAAGTGCACTACAGCCTGCCTATAGCCTGCTGTGATGGAGGTATTTTATCATTTGAGGTTCCCGCCTCTCAAATGACTCTAGCTTTTGTCAAGTTGACATAAGACTACCAAGGACAGATACTTTCTTCAATTAAAGCCCTTTTTTTTAAATTAAGAAAGTGTCAAATAGGGCCAAAAAAAAAAAAAAAAAAAAGAATGAGTCTACAATATAAAGCCACGGTGAAAAGCATTTTTTACACTTCAACAAGAATGTCTGTAAGTTCACTTCATAGAGAAGATGCTGCAAGATCACGTGGGATGTGTTCTTACCATTCATTATGTATTAATTATATTGCTAAAAAGATGTACTGGCTCACACTCTTAACATCTGTGTATGAATGTTTGCCAGTCCCTAATCCTTACTGAATAGTATCCCTTCTTTTACTTTTGCAAATTTACTAAGTAGGTCACTGTCCTTTTTAATTTACTTTTATTTTTTTTAATTTATTCTTTGAGAATTCCATGCATGTATATAATGAAGCATGATCATATCTAATTCCAGTCTCCCACTGCTCGTCAAACTTCCCCTGGATCCTCACAACAGGACCCCTCCCTATATCATGCTCTCTTCCTTTTTAAAGAGGATTGAATAACCTCAGAAATGCAATTAGTTCTGAGTGTATGCAGGGCCGTCCACTGGAGCATGGGCAGCCTAGTGGTAGTCACACCCCAAAGATGAGTACTTCCCCTTCCCCCAGCACCTATCAGCTATCATTTTATTTGGTTCCATGTCCCTGCAGAGGTCTTTCTGAGAAGCATTAAGAAAAGAAGGCTTGTAGGACCCTGTATCTCCTTCCCACTCTTCTTCTAGATCCATTGAATGGTTGGAGATTTTCACTGAAGACAGTATATGAGGGTAATTGGGAGCACAGACCTTATAGCAACACTTTGCTACCCTTCCCAGGACCTCTGGCCCTGGTCTTAAACCTCTTCAGCACATGTCAGAAGAGATTCCTCTATAGTTAGCTCACATGACCTGGCCCTTTGTTTGCAGGGTGACACTAAAAACAACAAACCACACTCCAGGCTATGATGATATTCTAAGCACAGTGAGATGACCACTAGCTGAATTACAAACTCCTGTATTCCTCATTACTTTCTGTACCTTAGACCATCACCAAAATGATTAAAGAAGAAGAAACAAAGAAGGAGAAGATTAAAAAGAAGAGGGCAGGGTTGCGCTGTACCTTAGACCATCACCAAAATGATTAAAGAAGAAGAAACAAAGAAGTAGAAGATTAAAAAGAAGAGGTAGCAGGGTTGCACGCAGGGTTTCTAGTATAGTAAAAATTGGCCAAGGAGATCTTAGCATGCCTTTTAAAACCTCAGAGCAATATAAAACCCAGTCCTGTACTGACCTATCTACTGATGCTTCATGAAATATACTTTATAATACAGCAATGGCACAGAAAGTGAAGTATCAGAGACTGAACTCCTTACCAATATCACTCATGAGTGAAGGAAGAGGGAAATACATTCATTTGGTGTTTCTCTGGTATTTTTGGAGTAAAATGCATTTCAGTCTGTATATTACTGTTGTTTGCATTAAAATTCCCAGAAATTTTGTTTTATACCTACTTGATATTGAAATATGTATATTCTTAAAGGTAATAAAAGTTAAAAAATTAAAGTATAAAAATTCTTCTGCCTCTCCCAGAAATCACTGCTACTGACTTTTATTCTAATGCTACTTGGAGGATGTCATAGTGAGATCAGAGGGAGCATAAACTGCTTATTTTCTTCCTGTCATGATAGCAGGAGTGGGAGAGAGTGGGCATTGGAAAGCTACTGTGTGGATAAATTCTGGGACAGAATTTGAATAATTCAGTTAAGAAAGGGTTTCTGGGGATTGCAGCAGTGCATAATTATGGCCGCAAGTCTCAACTTAACTGCATGTTTGAAATAATAGATCAGCCTCTTTCCACCATAACCTGTTTTCAATAAGTAGGAATAAAAATAATGATGCCTGCCTCAAAGTAACTGTGGGGTTGGATTTTGTGTAGCTCTGACCCTCAATAAATACTAGCCACTGCTTCCTGAAGCCTTCAATGGCTTTAAAATATCAATATACTTTATCACGTATGTTTTCCATAATATAAGTGATGGTAATTTTCAGTTCTCAAAGGAATGGAGGGAAAAGAAAAATAATTGAACCAAGTTAATGAAGTTCATCCTTTAGTTAAGTTCCACTCAAGGGTAACCATTGATTTCAGACAGTACTATTCACCCTACCCACATCTTGGTTCTGGCCCTAACCCTTGTAAAGAATATAGATAAATCTGTCCCAGTTATAAGAAAAGAAGTCTTTGTGAGAGAAGAGAGAAGGAGAGACAGGGATACCCATGTATCATCGGCTCATTTTAAAGGCCATCTTGGATGTGGTGACATTGCTTGTTTGAAAGGCCATTTGAGGATCAGAGAATTTATAAATCAGCCCCATGATAATTTTCCTTAAAAATTCTTAAAGCTGTTTCAAAAATGCAAAATGTTCACCTTGGTTTTTATAAAACATATGGCATCACTTTGAATGCTGCCTCGGGGATGCTTTGCCAGAGCAGGCAACACTATAAGGTTTTCCAATCTGATTTCTTCTTTGAATATGCATGCCTAGGACTGTTTTTTTTTTTTTTTTAAATCAGATTCCTTGCAGGGGCTTCCAAGTGTTTTGCACTAATCAAAGCAGTGGAAAGCTAAACCCTGCAGCTCCGAATGGAGATAAATCCAATAAGAGCCAGCTTGCCCCCTATAAACTACCAGGGACTGCGTTCATATCTCATCTAAGTCAACACTTGGGAAAGACACCTTTATACATATTAAAAGACATCTCAAAACTTGTTTTTGTTAATGCTTGATTCTAAATTTTTATGTGTAAAGGGAAAAGTTGGGAGAGGGTTAAGCAAAATGATATATGCATGAAAATCCCATATGGAACCCCGTTTCTTTGCATGCCAGTCTGAAAAAGTAAAAGTAAAATAGTTGAAAGTTAACAAAGTAAGTATGACATAGACTTGGAAGTCAAGAGATGTCTAGCCTCATGGTTTGCATTGCCCTTCACCCTTAGCTTGTCTTTCTGCAGATAGCACATTCAGTATGATCTGTTTTATACTCGGGGAAATGGTGGAGATGTTTCATCCAAAGCAATGATGCTAATCGTGATTGTGTTGGGCAGTTTCTCAATCATGGTGCATGGTACTAGTGCAAACAGCCAAGCAAACTGAAGAGGGAAGGAAGGGAGGGTGGATCCAGCAGAGGGCTCTCAAAGCACTGTAAACCTTCTCCTGCTAATTGGGGGTCAATCATCTCTCTAAAGGGGAATTCTCTTTGAAGTGTGTGAGCTTCTGTAGAGGGGATTATAATCATCTATTTGAAAGAACAGCTGTAGAAAGCATGCTTCTATCTGGAAAAGACTTTCACTCGAGAGCAATTAGAAGTTGGGGAGGGAAAACTGAGAGGAAACAAGGGCTAATCAAGGGCAGGTGGCAGAAGCCTGCAGAAAGTGTGTCCTTGCTAGTACTTATGTTGATGCCACCATGCAGACTGTGTTGGGAAGTCACAGGATGTGCTGTCTGGAAGCTCTCCACAGCAGTTCATCCCTGGCTGAATGCAGTGGTTGTCATTCATTGCTTGACCCTGAACACTAGCCAATAAGTATGGAGAGGATTAAAGGAAAACAAATCCTAAGGCAGAATAAAGAGAACTGTGTCTCCTGAGAGGAAAGGAATAACATGAACCTGGAGAAGCCTGGCTTCTCAGAAGTGCATTCTGCAGCTTGTAGATCTGTTTGTCATACACAGGTACTAGTATTCTCTTTTCTCTAAAGCAGTGGTTCTCACTCCCCCCTAATGCTTCAACCCTTTAATACAAGTCCTCATGTTGTGCTGACCTCCAACCATAAAATGGTTTCATTGCTGCCTCATAACTAATTTTGCCACTGTTATGAATTATAATGTAAGTATCTGATAGGCACGGTAGCTGATATTTGACTCACAAAGGGGTTGTGATCCACAGGTTGAGAACCACTGCTTTTAAGAGACTGGTACCTATTTATTATATGAGAAAATTGTGTTGTGCAGAGTTGGTAGTTTGGGCAAGGATTGTACCCACAACCCCCTAACTTGCTATGATTTTGAGATTCTGGTTGTGTTCGGTGATACGCAGCTCAATGTTTTGTTTTGTTTTTGTTTTTTTCTAAGACAGGGTTTCTCTGTATTTTGGAGCCTCTCCTGGAACTTACTCTGTAGACCAGACAGGCCTTGAACTCACAGAGATGCACTTGCCTCTGCCTCCTGAGTGCTGGGATTAAAGGCGTGTGCCACAAACACCCAGCTCAGCTCAATGTTTTTATACTAAGCAAAATTTTCTCTCCATCACCTACTTGATCTTAAATAGGATTTTTTGGGGGGTGCAGTGCTTATGTTTTGGACCAGGGTTCATTTTTTTTATTTGAATTAGAAACAGGATGTTTTACATGACAATCCAGTTCCCTCTCCCTCCCATCCTCCTCTACCACCCCCCCCTCAACTAAAACCCTAACACATATCCCTTCAGCTCCCCCTGGATGGTGAGGCCTTCAACAGGGTGTCATCAGAGTCTATTGTATCTTTGGGATAGAGTCTAGGTCCACCCCCATGTGTCTTGGCTCAGGGAGTCTTCCTCTATGTGGAACGGGCTCCCAAAATCCACACCTATGCTAGGGATAAGGACTGAACTACTAGAGGAGGTCCTGTAGATTTCCTCACTGAAACCCATGTTCTTGGGGTCTGGATCAGTCCCATGCTGGTTTCCCAGCTATCAGACTGGGGAACAAGAGTTCCCCAATGTTCAGGTCAGCTGTTTCTGTGGGTTTCACCAGCCTGGTCTGGACCCCTTTGCTCTTCACTTGTCCTTCTCTGCCTCTGGATTCCACTTCAGTTCAGTGATTAGTTGTGGGTGTCTGCTTCTACTTTCACTAGCTGCTGAATGAAGGCTATAGGATGGCATGTAATGCAGTCATCCATCTCATTATCAGGGGAGAGCATTTAAGGTATCCTCTCCTCTGTTGCTTAGATTGTTAGCTGGTGTCATCTTTGTAGGTCTCCAGACATTTCCCTAGTGCCTGATTTCTCTGTAAACCTAAAATGTCTCCCTCTATTATGGTATCTCCATTCTTGTTAT